TCATTGTTACACGGACTGTTCGGGTCCGCCGCCTCCAAATGCCAGCATGGGCCGATCGAAAAAGGTCTTCGTTTTGATGGATGCCTGGAAAGATTTATTGGTTTTGACGAAATAGTGACTTAGACATTAAAGACTTTGGCACGCGTTAGGGTGGGTGGTGTGACCCAGAGGGCTCATTGTGACTCACCATTTTGTGTATGGTGCTTTGTCGGTAACTGACGCAGAAATAAAGAAGTTCTGTCGAAATTCTTGAGCATGCGGACTTAATTCAGTGTTGAGACAATGGAAATTGGCCTAATGGGGCAAAAAAGTTATGTGTATCCTGGGTCCTCCAAGTTCCTCAGCTTTAAGTTACGCCCACCCATCAATTACCAAAACTGATAGGTTTGAAAAGAGACCAATGCTGAGGCTGAGCCTAATGCTTGAAATATGCCAGTTTTTTCGAAATGCAAAGACCTTATGCCTAAATTTTCAAATGCCTCACTATTTGCAATGGTGGCCAATATACTACTTATGTATGACATCGCCGATTTAAGTAAACTTACTAGCAATGCGAATACTTCGATAAGATTGTGTTAATACTTGAAACAGGGGACGAGGGATTCGTAAAATTAGGACACTTGCAAGGCAAAAAACTTATATCTGCGTCTTCACCTGCGTAATATCCAAAAGATGGCTTTTGATAAGTGCTGCTGACTGACAGTCCTAGCTATTATTGAACTTTGGAAGGGAATAAACAAATGTAATAATCATGCGCCTTGCCCATTCTTATAGGTATTCATCCTCTTCCCAAAGTATAAGTGCAAAATTTGATGCATCGTCCGCCCCAAGGGTGACCTTGACATTAGCCAATAGGGGTCTCCGACGACTAGCAGTTACGAAGGTACATATTAGTGATATCTATTCTTTGTCATTTCGAGTACCTATCCGTACAACTTCTTGTTAAAACATTGGGAAAGGTAGGGTACTCGTAGTCAGAGGAAAATGACTGATGAAACATGCGGGTGACAGTGTTGGTCTGTTCTCCGCCTGATTGTAAATGCACTACATGGCATTAGGATAATGGAAGAGATTGCGCACAATGGAAAATGATGAAGCTCCAGTTGTCTTGTCCATCTTTGCTTCAACGGGAATACAATGGTCTCTCACCCCTTGATACATGCCGGAGCAGTGATTCCAGTAGCCACGGATTAAATAAGGCTTCTCCCTTATCTGGCTTGAATATCCGACTAAGCATTCATGGCCTGAATGCAGTTGAAAGATGGTCCTGTTTCGACTACTGCTGTTGGACCAGGAGAAGGGAATTCAAGCCCTGTTTCTGTTCCGCACCACAATATGTGCTCTCTGAAAAAGCCAGTTCCTTTTCATTGCAGGGCAACACTCGTTTTTTTTTCGCTTTGCATTCGTTTCCCAATGTCGCATAAAATTTGATGAAAAAAAAATAATGAGAAAGTGGTAAGGAGGGAGACGGTTAGGCGGAAGATCCCATCGGACTAAAAGCTGTAGACAGAAACAGCCCATGCACTGAAATTTTGTGTCAATCGGAAGTCTATCCCTTTCCTCAAGCCAGGTGGATGTGATTAGAATTTTCATCGAAGAAAATTTTGAACTTACACAGGCAAGTAGGTTAAAGGTGTTGTTAATGGGAGCACAACCAGCTAATCCGATAAGCCTTAGCTGCACATAACGTATGCATTCAAAGGGGAGGAAGGTTGGACTGAATCAAATGAACATGAGGGTGACAAAAGTAAGGGCAGGACGCTAATGTAGACTGAGAAGAGGGGATTCTACTGCTAATTTAGCTTTGCCTTTTGACTAGTAAACGAGCTGCCATTCCCCCCTTCCGATTTGTCTCGTGCATTTACTTGGATCCAGTAGGCTTTCTCTTCTCTCATCACATCATCCAACACGAAGCCTTTCATTCTTTACTTTGCCACATTCGATAGCCAGTGATATCAACAACATCGTACCGCACGCTCACCACGTGCTTTCCAGTGAATGTAGCAAGAGGCTTCGGGGGGTAGGAAAACACACTGAACGCAGTTTATGCAAAGCAGGCGAAATGAAATCATATCCACCATGTCCAGCCAATATCTGACCAGATGAGGCTTCCATCATACACCTGCGGTGGTTACAATGTACTCTTCGTGCCGCAAAATAAGCATGTAGTGATCTGCATGACGTGCTAACCAATGGTGTGATGACTGCAATCAAGTAGTCCAAGTTTCTCCCAATTCCAACCATTACTACGTCCTAGTATAGCACTTGCAGGTTACCGGTATGATGGCTGTTAAAAAAAGGACAAACCTTTAGCCCAAAGCTCCCAAATTTTGGTGAAGGTAGGCGCATTAAATATGGGTTCTACAAAATAACTTACTGTGCTACATATTTACTGCAGAGGACTAGCGAAGAACTAGAAGGATTTTACTTTTTCCTTGGGAAGCGGCATAAAGTAAACACACCCTCCGGGTCAGGCTAGTAGCTACAACTCTTCCGGTATCCCCACATAACCACACAGATTACTCAAGTGGGTGCGTTAGTGTAGCTTCCTGGTGCATAAGCAAGTAGGCAATGAACATAATGATTGACTGCTATTACTGACGCTGCTTCAAGCAATGCAATAAATCATCACAGGCTTCCTTGAAGGCAGGGTTTACACACATGAATTTGTTTATTAGAAACTCCTCGACGCATAGGCTAATCTCAAATTGCAGCTATTTCTATCAGTCAAAAACTTTAATAAGATGATATACCTGGTTATTATTCCAACGCGCAATAGCAACTCCTGCAGAAAATCGCAAATAACATCTTTTTAACTTTTTACTCGTATAAAACTGCTTCGTATTGGCATTTTAAAAACAATGACATTTTTGACAAAATTCGTGGTCATTTGATTTTGCTTAAAATGTAAAAAATACTAATATATAAAAAATTCATTTACAATCCTTCTATTAAGCAAAAAACAGTGTTCAAACAAAATGTTTGTTTTGTGAATCCAATGTAAATTGCTCACCTTGAGATTGGCATGACTACGATTTTCGTTACCCTTCAAACTGGAGTGTCATAAAAATCTCGCTGTATGCCTAAATAAAAAACAAATTATAGATTTGTTTTCTCCTTCTTGGTTTACATGGGTAGTAAACTCCACAGCCTTGGAACTAATTTATGGTTTATTCGAGTGTGCTAAGATAAAGCCCCACCTCAAGTACCGCTGTCGAGTAAGGATGACAGCCTTTACGTACGAATAAGTCTCCTTTTAAAAACAATGTTTCGATGATATTGCTATGAAATTCTAGTATACAGATCGCCCTAAGCCAGGGCTTATTTTATACTTGGCCTGTCCATGTGATACAAAGCCACTAATCAAATCGACGGTGTCAGTCTCAGCGTTTGTTTGGTCTCATCTTTCAAAAGGTGTACAAATGAGTGTGACTGTCGTTTTTTAACAATTGGTGAGATTTCCACTCTTCGAGAATGGAAATGAAGTGTTGATGTTCAACAGTGGTACACAAAACACGTGCCAAGATGGTGCAGTCATTTTTGTGCATCCATTTTAGCGGTACAACTTTCCATTTTAAATCCTAGCTCATTGTTTCTGGTTTTTCTCCAAAGTCCACCGAATCCTTACACGTTTTGGGAACCACGAACCATTCTTGCCAATTTTTGTTAAACTGAGTGATGAAAAACTTCCCCATATAAGGAGGAGAAGCTGGATTAATTTCCAAAGGACATTTTTGAGGGATTTAAAACCCTGTAGACCACACTGCTTTCCAAAAAGTCAAGCTAAAAGAATGACCGTTTTCTGCACCTAGGAGACTGGGTCAACCACAAGCCGAGTGTTAAAAGTGGCATTAAAGGCTCCTCCTCGTCATGCAAACAGTAGTATTCCATGAAAAGCCCGTCTGAACCGTGTCACTTCCTTAGAAGTAAAGTAGGGTTCCCCAGTGTCTCAATAAACTCCGTGACTAGGTCTTGCGAAGGATCTTAAATGTAGGAAGTATATAATCGTCGCATTTTGAAATGTCGTCCACTTTGCCAACCTGATAGGCAGCAGTACCACCTGAGAATGAAAAACAGAAATTAAAGCATCAAACTATAGATTGCTGTTGCCAACGTGGGGAGATGTGTTTCACTTTACTTACCACCTCACATTAGCAGCATTGTAATGATTCTCATATTCAAACTTCAAAACTAACCATTTCCGAGTTTTGAGGGGGCCTATGCCGTTACGCATATTACAGTTCTACACCACTGCAAACAGGGCTTTAGCAACGCAGTCGATGGAAGTATGCCTCAGACATAAGGTTGAGAAGTGCGCACCTACTGCCTCACGTCAATAATTAGTTTGCCATTCTCAACTCCCCTCTTACACGGAATTTCAGTCAGCCCTAAGAGAACGAGGTTAAAAAATGGCAAAACTCTTCCAGACGCATTCCAAGATCTTTTAACTAGTAAAAAATGTTGACTAGCACCAGACGAACACACACCTCTTCAAAACTGTCATTTACTACCTTCTCTTGGCACTACTTGGGGTCAACTTCTTAAAATGTTATGATCAAAAATGACGCGCCTCGGCTAAACCGCTTCAAGTGAACGACTAGATGTCAAACTTTGGAAGCATCCACTCACCGACGCGCTATGATGGATGTATGTCACGAATTGTCACTCCTACTCTGAAGATGGCCGTACACTGATTAATAAACTGCTAAAAAGCAAACACAGTGTCCATATATCTGATTTTCTCCATCAGGGAACAAAAATAAACCAGTGAAGTGGGAAACCCAGTGCGGAAGGATAAATCCCGGAGGAACCACCGCCAGGCAAATTGGAATGAGAAACCCTTGAAGTGGACATCTCCAGCAATCCGACTTACCAGCTACTACTCCTATTCGGTTGTTAAAAAATTGGGATCATCAAAACAAAATATCTCGAGAAGAAAGGCCTAAACTGTTAAAAGTGACACAAAATCGCCCCTCAATCACGGAAACAGAGCACACAATGACCTGCTGTCAGTGTAGCTGTTTCACTCATTCCTATGCAATATTTATATTCCCGTTTTATTGTCTTTTGAGTGGCACGTTGGCTTGTTTTCCTCATACGCTCTTGCACTAGGAGGGAGGGAGGGAAGAAAACATGGGAGAGAAATGGGAGAGTTGAAGAGAGAGAGAGAGAAAGAAAGAGACGAAGCAGACAACCCGAAAGAAGTGCAAGGACAAATAACAACGCGCAAACGAACAATCAAACCAACCAACGAACGGAGATGAACTCGAACAACTGTGAAGCAGTCGACGCTTATGATAATGATAACACTGTTGACGAGATAATGAAACAAGAAGAAGAGGTAGAGGGGAGGCACATGTGAGGGCAGAGAAAAAAATTCGTATCATATACACACAGGGCAGGAGATGGACAAAGAGAGGAAAAAAATTGGGAATGACCGGGTACCGAGAAAAAGGGAAACCGGTTTATTCGCTTATTCTTTTTTTCCATTTCTCCATTTGTTTTCTTGACTACAAGATGGTGGAAAAAGGGGAGAAAGGAAATACAATGACTGCAAAGGAACGAGCGAGTAGACAAACGGGCGAGTGGGTGTGAGCAGGCGGAGTTGATAAAACGGCGGCAGCGGCGGCGGTGGGGAGGCGGCGAGAGAGAAAGGGAGGGAGGGAGCGGGACTATTGATCGGGTTGGGTGGTGAGGAATTGGTCGTGTCGCTTGTGCTGCTCCAGTGCTCGAATAGTACCCTGATCTTGCGGCAGGTCAGACTTGCGACGCAGCGACGCTGGGGTCGTCTTCTCCTTCTTACGCACCAGGAAGGGCAGTGCCGAGGTACCCTGACCTTCTCCGCCTAGCTTACGTACCTAAATTGACGACGAACACAATCTTCAGGCATTATCCTCTGGCGAGGAATTTCGCATCATCCAGATACTAGAATGAGTTTGGTTTCAAATGCATAAGAGAGCAGGGAGGAGTGAAACCCACCTCCTCTTCACTTTCCTGCTGCAACGAACGAAGCGTGGCGTTGACATCCTCATCATTGTCAATGGGTGGACTGCTGGCGTCCATACAATTGTCGATGCCACCATCATCTGCACCATTTCTCTGCTTCTGCGATTGCATCTGCCGTTGTTGCTGCTGCTGCGGTGTGATACCGTTCGTCCCGCCACTACCACCACCACTGTTCTCCACTGCTGACGGCGTTGCGGCGATGGCAGCAGAGCCGTTGGGCTCGCCAGACATCACCAGCTTGTACAGCGGGTTCTTCATCGCAGTGGCGTTCAACGACGCCCAAGCACGTTCTCGACGCTTAGCCTCTTCGCGTTCACTGCATCGGAAGAGCAAAAGAAGACAGTGAAATGGGAATATTGCAGACACCTTGCTAGTTTACGGCGAACATGGAAACAACAAGAGAATTAAATGGGGAGGTACAGAATTAGCATCACTAAATTACGAGTACTTGGTCTCCATCAAAGCCTCAGAGAAAGACCAGCCACAACTTCCAAGATGTTGCATTAGTCTAATGATGACACCGACATTTGAAAATTCAAGTTTGCCTACTCAATTGCTTCTACTTAGAGTCCGAGGAAAATAGGCATCCTTAAAACAAAAGAGGCTACCAAAAGCCACCAAAATAAAACTGGAATAGCGTAAGCGTTGAGTCGGAAAAAGAATGAGGGACAATTTTGGATAGAAAAGAAGCATGGAACTCACCGTTGACGCTCCTCTTTATATTTGGTGGTGCAATTGTCAAAGAGCACCTGATTCATTTCCATGAAGAGCTTCAGAGCATTGTAGATTAGACCGTGAATAGTTCTTTAAGGAGACAAGAGAGGGAGTATAAAGATACAATGATAGTGATAATGAGAGACAGGGCGAGGAGGGAGAGACAGACGAGACACCTACTTGTTCCAATGTTGTTTGGTTCTGTACAATGCAGGAAACATGATAGGAAGGATGGTGTCTACGTTTTCAGTCATGAGGGAGAGAATGTACTCGTTGCTCCATAGGTACAACGCTCGTTCTGCCACCTGTATGCAAGGGAGGACTAAGTTAAAATGAGCGTTCAACTATCGAAAGGAAAAGGAGAAAGATGAAAGAACTATAAGGCTTGCCTGAAAATGTGGCGAGGATACACACTTGGCCAGCTGAGTGAAGAGGGGTTTAATAATCTTCTTGAACTCCGCGGCATCCATTACATCGAGAATCTCCTCCAACTCGTTGAGGAACATCACCTCCTTGGGACTGTGCATCTTCGGCCAGTATTTCAGCAGTCCCAACACGATCTGGG